GCTGATCTATCTGTCACTAAGCTGTGGGATGAACTGTCCTGAGAAAGAGCTGCCACTGGCAATGTGGCTGCAGTTGGACTGCACTTCACTGCTGGAGAACATATTCCTAGGCATGGCAAGTATAAACCTTCTGGCACTGCTGGGGAGGACTATCAGAGAGAGTGGTAATGTAATACACAGTAATGAGTGTAAAAGTATTCATCCCTAAAGAAAGCCTCATTTTCTTCATGTTGTCCTCAATTAGCCAAAGTTGGGCAGCCCTATCATGCTACCAACTGTCTAATTTTCCAGGTTGAGGCTGTTGTGGATCCCTTTTGCTGCTCTGAGAGGATGGCACAGCAGCTCACCGAGAAGGCCAGTGGAACGTAGTTGCGGCGTCGCACCAGCTTCTTCCTGTCCCGCTCGATCTTCTCCTTCTGAGCCAGCTGCTGGTAGTACTCAACCAGTTTGTTAATCTGGAGGGAGGAAAGGGAGTACTGTCACCTCAGCTGCAGCATTTCTTTGTGAACTAGCTGGGGTTCCTGCTGCTTGTTTCACTCTGCTCCTAGTACCAGCTGTACTGTGCAAGCCTGTGTACCTTAACATATTAAGACAAAATGACCCTTCCTGGGAATGATGTGTGTTGGAGGGCAGTGTCCAATTCTCACTTTGCAATTCAGCAACTGAGACTTTGTCCATGAATTTGCTATGACTGCATAGAGTAATGCCATGTGGCCAACTCTGAGCAATTTGGATTGGCAGAGCAAACAGCATCTTTAGCATCTTTTCCCCCCTCCCCGAGGCTGGTCACGTTTAGAGTGGAGCTCTAACGGGTAAAAGGGAAGGGTGTTAAAGGTGCAGTTGTGTTTTCCAGATCCTGGACACACTTTTGATTGGAAAACAGCTTTTTTTCACATACATACGCAGCACATTCACCTTAACAGCACCATTAGATAGGTTGATTTCAACTGAGCTTCTTCTCAAAAGGAGATTTTATACTGCGATATCCTCAGGGCAGCCTCTAAGAGGCCTTCCCTCCATTCAAGGTGCAGATTAGGAACTGGAACTGGTATCTGAAGGATTATATAGATGCAGAAAAAGTGATTGAGAGGGCCTGACACTCTAACAGTTCTTTCTGGCTGATGCATTTCAGCCCAAGTACAGCTTTCCCACTCACTCACCCTCTGTGTGTGAGGATTCTCCGGCTCCTGCCAGCCCCCACTCGCTGCACAAGAGAAGAGAAAAAGCAAAGTCCACAGGAGGTTTCCAGATGCCACACAGAAATCACACCCAACACTCACCTATCTTGGTGTTATTTATAAAATATGGCATTCCCTATTTTTCCTACACCTACATTGTAAAGTTCATGTCTTTACAAATATACACCTCTGAAAGAGTTGCACAGGCAAGTTTGGAATGAAGGAGCTCTGACAGCTTTTATATTGTGTTTTTAAACAAATGTTGCTTGAGAGACACTTAGGACAGCACCCAGGAGTGACTTCAGCAGCAGGTACTTGTGTTTATATGTGCATCTCTTATAACTGGCTGCTGCTGTCTCTGCATCCTCAGCTCCATTTTCAGTCACATCAACACTAGAAGCCAGAGGATCTGCTTGGCCTACCCAACCCCACCTGACAGATATTTTCTGTACATCTCATGTACCAAAAAAATAGATGAAAGCTTTGTTCTAGTGCTCTTGTGAAGAGAAAAGCCAAGTTCAAACACTGACTAGCAACTCTGGAATAAGTCTAAGTGAACAAAAGTGATGGAAAATAAATTAGGTGTTTATGCTGTCAGACTGAGCAGCTTCAAAGCCTGTGAAAGCACACAAACAAGATCTCAGCAGTGGGGAGAGTGCACTGACTAAAACAGTTTGACAGTTTTCTCACTAGTCAGGTAACACAGGCATGAAAGTGGGTCACACAATTCCACTAACTCAGCTCATCTCTTCAGAGGAGTCTTCAGCAACAAAAGAGTTTTCCTGTGAATTTCCAACTACAACTCCAATCCTCACCAGATATCAAGTCCATAGCACAAGTCTGGAGCTAACTGAATTATCTGTTACCTTCAAAACACAGACTGGGCTCATGCTGTAACTCAGTTTTGTGTCTGTTCCAGATTGCAAGGCAAGATGTATTCTATTACCATCTGTATGGCAGTTGTCTTTTGTGGAGTGGCAGTTTTCCTTATCTCTCTCTGAGTGATCACAATCAGTGATCCCCTCCCCTCTGAAGAGGACATCTGTTGATAACAGGCTATTGAATGTCACTGCCTGACTGATAAGAACTACAGCATCCCATTGGGAGATGCTCTGCCCAGAAGGAGGAGCCAAGCATTCCCATCCAGATATAATCTGTAGATTTTGGAATACCAGTACAGCTTCTCCACTGGATTTCTCAGAGGAACAGCAGCTGCCTCTTCTTCCACTGGATCTTCAGAGGAAGACTACATCTTTCTACAGGATCCCTGCTCCAGCAGAACCACCCCTGACACTCCAGGAGGGCTGCAGCCACGTTTCCAATTGGACTGCTACCAACACCCTGACCAACAGGGTGTCAAGGCTGAGTTCTAACTCTGTCAGTGTTGCTCTAGTGTACTGGATTGTTTATTTTATCCTTTTATTTTCTTCCCTATTAAAGATCTGTTATTTCCTCCTCACATATTTTTTTTGCCTGAGAGCTCCTTATAATTTAAAATTTATAGCAATTCGGAGGGGTGGGGAGGGTTTTCATACTCCATTTCAGGGGAGGCTCCTGCCTTCCTTAACAGACACCAAGACAGTCTTTTAACTGTCCCTTACCAACAGACTTGTCTGCCATTCTAGAAATTTGCAAACTTTGCTGAATTCCCCCAAAACTAAAACTGCCAGCAACTAGGACCCTTCAAGTCCTTAGAGCCCCAAACACCACCTTCGATCTGATCCCCAGACCCTGGGGAAATGATTTCTTTTTCCCATGGAAAATGTCCTCAGTTTGCCGCCACTTGCCCTGGCCGACAGAGCGGTGCCAAGCTGGAAACTGGCAAACTTTGCTGGAACTAACTGGATTACCTGTTACCTTCAAAACACAAACTGGGCTCATGCTGTCACTCAGTTTTGTGTCTTTGAACTGTCCCTTACCAACAGACTTGTCTGCCATGCCCACATCCCGGGAAGTCCAGCGGCAGAAGCCACAGGCCAGGTAATAGGCTTTCTTCATGGTGGTCTTGGCCGGGTCGTCGGGCAGCGGCGCAGGGATGCTCGTGGCCCGTGTGGAAAGGGTGTGCATGCAGCACGGGCAGTCAAAGCAGTTGGCACACCTGCAAACAACAAGGCAGGGCTCTGAGAAGGGTGCCAGGCTGAGAGAAATGCTCCCAGCAACCACACCAGCACTAAAACAACAGATCATTAATTCCTAGGCAACAGCGCGAGGGACAAAGGGCTGTGACAGGAACTTGGGGGATTCAGAGTCAGCATAAGAGCAGCAGCAGTGAGAAACACAAAGTGATACTAAAAAACCTCTGTATTATGAGGCCAGGTCATTAAAAAAATCCCAAAAGTCCTGAACATGAACAGCCCTGTTCATCATGGAAAGACACTTTCCCTGATACATCATGGAAAGACACTTATTCCCCAAAACAGACTCAAATACAACAAGCAGCTATGTAATTTTGGAAGAGTTTCAGACAGACATGGGAAGGGACTGTTTTAAACAGGGAGACTTGATGAAAAAAAAAACCCAAAGAAACTTTACCTGTTCTTTTTCAGCTTGGCTTCAGCTGAAGGCATGTTTTCCAGGCAGCTGGGGCAGTAGTGAGAGTCAACCTGAAAAAGACATAGCCACATCACACACATTATCTGGCACACCTTTGTCCAAAAAGCCCCAAACTGCCACATGATCCAACAAGGATTTGTGTCTTGCAACAGCAGGGTGAAGCCAGGGAAGGCTTGAGACCTTGGTATGCAAAACCTTAGCCCATGTCAGCCAGATTTTGATCTTTAATAACATAAATTATAAGGTATCTTTAGGCAGAATGGATTAAACTACTCTGCCTTGTAAATGGGAAAAGATCAGCTGAGTGTTGACCTTTAGCAGTTAACAGAATCTCATTTTTCAGCTTGAACAAAAATTTTAATTTTTATTTTCTATTTAGACCCAAATTTATTGTGTCCTCACAGTTACACTGGTCAGATATTTCAGAATATGCATATTTCCGAAGATGCTTTGTGTCTCTTGGCTGTCACAGTGAATTTTGTCTATAGAAACAACAGCAGCAAGACTGGGGCCCCATTCTTGAGGAGGAATTCAAACTAATTATTAAGCATGGCCACGCACAATGACTGCACTGCTCACACCACAGTGAATTCATGATGGATACAACCAGGTCACAAATCCACGTTTCAGAGGCCTTAATTTCATTAAAGCTGCTTTTTTCTGAGATCTGGGCTGCACAGTCATTCCTTCAAGGCTTCCCAAATCTATTTCTTAATTTCTTAATTCACCCATTCTTCCATCAAAACCAATCTCGGCGATTTTAATATGACAATTTACGAAGCCAAACCCCCCCTCCACACCAAAAATCGTAGCTGCAAAAAACACACACAGCCCTCCACAGCAAAAATCGACATGGGGTGTGGGTCTGGGGGTCGGCCGGGCCCGATGGGCATTGGTGTGGGGAAGGGTGGGGTCTAGACCCAAAGGTTGGGTCCCCACGAGGGTGAGGGGTCCCCGCGGCCCCGGTCGGGCCCCACTGAGATCTGGGTGGGGGTCCCCGCTCCCCCGGCCGGGCCCGTTTAGGGGGTCTCGGCCCCCATGAGGGGAACCGCCCCAGTGCCTGGGCGCTCGCCCCAGCCAATCACAGCCCGAGCTCCGCCGACGGACAGGCGCGCACAGCCAATCAACACTCAGCCCCGCCCCATCCATAACTCGCGGCCAATCAGCGCGCTCCGTGGAGCGCTGCGCCCACCCGCCAGCCGCGCTAACAACCAATACCAAAGGAGAAAAGGAGTGAGAGGCAGGAGTGCGACCCAATCGCTGCGCGTAGAGAGAGCACCGTCCCGCCCGGTCCCGCCCAGTCCCACCCGGTGCGCGGGTGCGGCGCGGCCGGTCCGCCGTTACCTCGTGCGAGACGCACTCGAGTGAGCGGAGCTCGCTGCAGTAGCGGCAGAAGTACAGCTGCGGCAGCGGCGCCCGCAGCTCCTTCTCGCCGCGCACCAGGTACAGGACCCGCTCCGATTGCAGCAGCGACGCCATCTTGGGAGGGGGCGGGCTCCGCCGCGCCGCCGCCGCCTGACGTCACCACGTCGACCTGGCTACGTGACACCGCGTGGCTACCAAGGGGGCGTGGGCAGAAAGGGGGCGTGGCCTCCCTTAAGTGCCACCCAGTGCCACCCAGGGACACCAACTGCCCCCAAGTGCCATCTAATGCCACCCAGAGTCACCCCTGCCATGGTAGCGACACCTTCCTTGGTCCTGGAGCCCCTCCAACACGGCCTTGGACCCTGCCGGGGATGGGGCAGCCGCAGATGGTCTGTGCCAGTGCTCCCCACCCTCACAGCGAAGGATTTCTCCCCAGTATCCCATCTGTCCCTGCCTTTGCCAATGGGAAGCAGTTCCATCGCTCCGAGCCCTTGTCCCCATTCCCTCTCCAGCTCTCTTAGAGCCCCTTTAGGCACTGGAAGGAGCTCTGAGATCTCCCGGAGCCTTCTCCAGTTTTCCCAGCCTGGGTCCCGAGCAGAGGGGCTCAGCCCTCAGAACATCTCCATGGCCTCTTCTGGTGTCACCTCAGCAGCTCCGTGTCCTTGTCACGCTGGGGTCCAGAGCTGGACACAGCTCAGGTGGCTCTCACCAGAGCAGAGCAGAGCAGAGAGGGTGGTTTTTCACACCCCAAAGGTGGTTTCTCTTGGTTTCTCTTCAGTCTCACCTCCACTAAGACAGGATCCTGACAAGAATGAACATTCCTGTGCCGTGGGATCAGCAGGAAAGCACGAGGTCTGCAGATGCTCTGCTGTGTGCAGGCAGAATAAACACATCAGCAGACTTTAAGAGATCTGAAGCTCGGTGTCTACGCTACAACTGCTTCATTCTCTGCTGAGGGCAGAGCTGGCATCAGCAAACCCCTCCCAGTGTGCTGCTGGAGAGCCCAAACAAGGCAGAGCCAGCCTGGCCTGTGGCATGAGCCCCCCACCCTCGCCCCGGGATCCATCCCCACACAGCGCCTGCACTCAGTCCCTGCCCTCTGCTCCACAGGAAAGCCCTGTCCATGAGGATGTGCCACTGCTCAGATAAAAACCTCACGGTTTTATCCGCCTGCAGCAGCTGGAGGGGCAGGGAGGAGGCTGCCTGCGCTCTGCTCCCTGCAGAGCTGCGTGTCCAGGAGGGCCTGGAGCACAGGGGTGTCTTGGAAGGGTGAAAAGTGCATATTACATGGCTCTACACAGATATTTACTATATGTATTTTGTTGTATTGATTAGTAGTGCTGTATTAACATTTTAATAGTATGATAAATGTAGTTTTATAGTTAAAAGGTAACTTTTGTAGTTAAAATAGGAACTGTGTAAGTGGGATTTTTTTTAAGAAAGGAATGAGGTACTCGCACCAGATAGCAGCCACAGGATACCTAAATCTTTCAGAGAAAAAGAATTGATTGTTCTCTTATCAGAAGAAACTGACTTCTTCCTTCCTCGCTCAGGATCGAAGATGCCGTTAGGATTAGGAGGAAGAAAATCATGATGACCAGACCAAATCCTTTGTTTGAATGGAATTTATGCATCATGTATGGGATGTATGAATATTGAACAGGCTATTGCTTTTAAGGGTTAATCCTTTGTTAGTGGATGTCCTTCTTCGGGCTTGTGCTGCCCAGAAAAAGGTACCCAGACGTCCGTAACTCTTTGTTTCTGTTGTCTCATATTGTCCTAATTCAAATTGTCCAAATTATTATTACTCTAATTGTATTACTATTTTTATAACCATTTTATTACTATTAAACTTGTAAAATTTTAAAAACAAGTGATTGGCGTTTTTCAGAGGAGCATGCGGTAGGGCATTCCACCACCAGAAGCCCAACAGCTTTCCCTGGGAAAAAGGCAGGAGTGAAAGGTGCAGTGTGTGGCTCCCACCGTGACTGACACTGAGCTTGTGTCCCAGAAGGAAAGTCGGAGCATCCTATCTTGCTTTTGCCATTCAGCATCACCAGTGGAGTGGAATATTCCACTGGGCAGCAGAAAGAGCCTTCCCAGCCGGCGGGCTGAGCTCTGTCCCCTCTCTGGCCGTGTGTCTGTAAATCACCCTGTCCGAACCCTGGGCACTGCAGGCACCGCGCTGTGGCTGTGGAGGCTCTGGGTGCTCCTGCCTTGGGCCTCGGGGGCAAGAGGGTGCCTGTGAGCCCTGCTGAGGCAGGAGGGGGACAGGGTAGGGAGGACCCTTTGTTAAGAATTATGAAGTGAAATGTCCCCGCAGCTCCAGAGGCACTCCCCCAGTGGAACCCCATTGTGGGTGGGATGAGGTGGAGTGCGTTCTTATTTATTCTGGTGTAGAAAAAACGTCCTGCCTTGCTTTGCCTTTCCTTCCTTCCCTCCCCTTCCTCCTATCCCCTTCCCCTTCTTCCCCCCGTGCCGTCCCCCGCGGGCCGGGCCGGGCCGGGCCGGGCGGGGCCGGGCGGAGTCTCTCTCTCCTCGGCGGGATTCTTTCCCTCCCGGCGGGATCCGCCGCTGCCACCGCTGCCGCCGGAGCTGCAGCAGGAGCCGCCTTCGGAGCGGGAGCCGGAGCCTGGCAGCGCCGCAGGTACGGGGATGCGGGCAGGTGGGACGCGAAGGGCACGGGCAGGACACAGAAGGGCACAGGGCAGGCAGGGCACAGAAGGGGCACAGAAGGGCACGGCAGGGCACGGCAGGGCACGGGCAGGGCACGGGCAGAGCACAGGCAGGGCACGGCAGCTGCCGCCTCTCCCCACGGCACCGTGTCCCCCAGCCCCGAGGTGCCGGGGCAGGACGGCGGCACAGCCGCGGTCCCCGGGGAGGGGGTCCCCGCTCCCCGGCCCCTCCGTCCCCTTCAGCTGATGGAAAATCCATGACTCAGCTCGAGGTGCGGGTGGGGGGGGACGCACACACGAGGTTCCCCAGAAACGAGGGGGCTCCTGGCTGAGCCGACCCCACCGTGTCCCCGTGACCGGCGGGACACCCGGTTGTGGCTTCTCTTTATCAGTTCCTGTAACAAACAGTAGCAATTAATAGGGAAGTTTTCCCCTGGGCTTTTATCCAGTGCCTTTAAAGCATGCTGTAAATCCTGCAGGTAATTAAAGGAACCTTTACCAAAGGCTCTCGAAGGAGCCCAAGGTGAAAGCTGGACCTGGCCACAGGGGTGTCCCCGGAGAGAGCAGCAGGGGACTGGGGGAGACTCTGGCTAGGGGAGGGATGGACGGGGCTGCCCCACCTCCCCTCTGCCTTTTCCTTGCAGGATGGACCTCCCTCACCTCGCGAGAACTACCGACCTCCCCAAGCACATCCTGGATATCTGGGTCATCGTGTTGATCATCCTGGCCACCATCTTCATCATGACAGCGCTGCTGCTGTGCCCGGCCACGGCCGTCATCATCTACCGAGTGCGGACACACCCCACGCGCAACGGCATCGTGTGAGCCACGGGCACGGGGGCACGGCCAGCTCGCTGGGCTGGGGGCTGCTGCCATGGCACCCTGTGCCAGGCACCTTCACAGGGCACCCTGAGAGCTGGAGCCTGGCCAGGAGCTGGGGTGAGCCAGCCCAGACCTGCTCCTGTACCTGGCTCTTGCTGGGTACCCACTGCTCATCTTGCCCACTGAGCCCACGGGGGCTGTGGGGGAAATGCCAGCGTGGGCAGCAGTGGGGAGAGGTGTGACTTTGTGGACACGTGCAGCTGGAAATACCTCACTCCATGAGAGAGGCAGGCTGGTCTCACCTTCACTGGTGACACTGTCTCCTCCCAGGCAAGCAGCAAGGAGTGGAAATGCCTGACAAAGTTATTTCTTCTTTGGAGTCCCAGCTGTCAAGGTGGCTGGGGAAAAAAGAGTCAAAGCAAGATGGATGTGGCTTCTGGTTGTCCATTTAGTGCTTGGCTAAAAGCATCAGTGACAGAGCTTGTGCTGGCTGCACAGCAGACGTGCAGCTGGCACCAGCTTCTCCTCTACCCATTATCTGCAGAAATGGTAGGAAAATCCTGCAGGACTCTTGGTTCCACTGTGTCTTGTGGGGCAGAGGAGTGTATGCAGTTCCTGCCAGCCCTCCTGTCTGCATGCTGGCTGCACTCCCCACTCTGGTGATAGTGAGAGCTCCCACTGTTTGCCCAGCACTCCAGCCCTGCTGGGGAGTCTGTGTGTGCCTCACCTGGGCAGGCAAAGCAGGAGGAGCAGGTTTGTGCCCAGCCAGTGGCAAGGGATCATGTAAGCTCTTGTACTGCCCTTTGTTATGAAATAAATGGACTTTATCCTTCATGTGAGTGTGTCGTGCAGCTCTGTCCACACTGCAGGTGGTGTCTGGCTCTGCAGGATCTGGGATACTTTGCAGCCTCTCCAGAAACCCTCCCTGCTCTGACCTCGTGCCCTGCCTTGCCTCAAGGTCCCTGGGGCTCTCCCCAGCCCTGGAGCCCAGCAGGAAGCTCACTGGCAGCCCAGCCCCACGCTCCAGGAGGGCAAACCTCAGTCTGGACCCCGTGGGTGGGAAGGATCTCTCAGGACTTTGTGACAGTGGTTGTGGCTGTTTTTATCCCACTCGGGTGACCGGCACCACTTCCCTCACCCCAGCCTCGTGCCGGGTCAGTGTGGCAGGAGCCCTGGGGCTGAAACGGCGTCTTGGTGACTCACAGCAAGGAAGGTCACAAAATGAACTGCATGAATCAGGAAGGATGTGGGGAAACACTACGGTGATGCTGGTGGGAATTGTTTAAATCCAATTTTCTGTGCTGAAAAGAGCAACCAGCCCTGCAGTGTTTGTTGGAAACCCTGTGTGGCTTGATCCACAACATCCAGATTTGGGTTTGCATTGGGTGGTGGGGCCAGAGGGGCAGGAGGTTCCCTGGGAAGCAGGACCTTGGGCAAACACCTCCCACGTTGGGGAGGGAGCCTAGCACTGGGATACAGACCCTGGGGAGCAGAAGTGCCTGCCCTGGAACCACTGGCTCTGGTTGTGCTGGGAGGGAGCAGACACTTATTCCTTGCCCAGCCAAAAAAAACATATTTCTGTTTTGAGCTATCAACTCTCTCTTCCCCTCTCAAGTTGCAGAGTTTGAGGTAAATAACCAGAGTTATTTTCCTGTTTTTCTTCCTCTCTCCCTCCCTTGCTGGCACAGTGCAGCAGCGGCTGGAGGACATTACAGATGTGCAGGGTGGGAGCAGCCCTGGCTCTGCTCTCCCCTGTGCTCCACCCCAGAATTGCTTCCCTGGGGACAATGTGGGGACGGCCAGCAGCATCAGGAATTAGAGCTGAGCAGCTTTGCTATGAGAGGAATAGGGGAGAAGCCACAAACATTGGAGTGGTTTGGGAAGGAAGCCTGGTTTGGAGCAAAACATGAGGAAAAGCATGGACCACCTCTCCCCATCCATGCCACCATACACGATTGCTGTTCCCACCTCTGCCTTCCCCTTGTCAAGAGCAGCAGAGGCAAGTCAGAGATTTCCTTTATTGGTATGAATTTTCTGGGAAATTTCAAACCCGTGGCAAACATTTCCAGGAAAGGCCTTGGAAAGATGGGTTTGCTCATAACAACAACAAACATGGGGCTAAATGGCAGCAGAGGTAAAGCAGGGAAAAGTTACATTTTTTAAAGCATTAAAATGGCGGAGAATGAATTTAAACTGGATTTCCAATACTCTCAAGTTAGAAATTCCTCCTCCAGGATGGAGCGAGATAACAAAATCCCCCTGTGGCCCTGGACAGTGCTGGAGCTTGGAGGCAGCATTTGCATGGAGTTTTGCCAAGGAAAAATGCCTTTGTGCTGAGCAGCGGGTCCTGCTCGGTGACGCTGTAGCAGGCAGGGTGATGTGGGCACTGAAGTGATTCAGCATCCACTGGGATGTTTCCCTGGAGGTGCTGGCATGTGCCAGGAGCTGGCTGCTGGCCCCTGGGGCTGCTGCTGGGGGAGGCAGGTGAGGCAGTCCCAGAAGGGAGAAGGGGATGCAGGATGCTGGCTCTCACCTTGCCTCCCTTTGCAGAGGGAAGGGGGGAAATGAGCCAGAGACATTTCCACAAGGAGCAAATCTTCCCCTGGAAAAGGAGGGGATGGCAATGCTGGAGGGGGCAGAGCACAGAGCCTGGGGGCTGTGGGGGCACTCAGGAAGGGGGACCCCACTCCAAAGGGTGCTGGGCACCGTGCCCAGCAGGGAGGCTGCTGCTGAGCCAGGGCAGTGTGTGGGAGCACACGGGCTGGGGCAGAGCAGCGAGGGCTGGCTGAGCTGTGAGCTGGCAGCCTCGGGAAGCCTGGAGCTCAAAGAGCTGGGGCCTCTCTCCTGGCAGAACTTGCTTTGCTTTTGCTTCCCCGTCGCACACTTAGAACAAAGGTTCAGAGGTTGCCCAGGGATTGATGCCAAGCCAGGCTGCCAGAGGGAAGCTGCACTGCTGCTAGCCAGAGCAATGCTGCCTGCTGCTGCTGCCCAAGCTCCCTGCCACTGTCCTGCCACGCTGCTGGCACCATCCCTGTCCCTCTGCATGAAAATACCTCTGGGTCAGCTCTGGGGTAACCCCAGCAGGCAGTGCTGGATGGTCCCCACTGCTGCTTTCACATTCCCCATGCTCAGCTGGGGCCCTGCAGCCTGGCACAAGGTCCCTGCAGCCCCGGCACGTGGCTCAGGGGACACCAGGGAGGCTGGTGGCAGTGGCAGCATGGGGGCCGGGGGGCTGGAAGCGCCTGGCCTCCCGCCCCGGACTGCTGCCAAACATCTGCAGCAGGCGGGGGCTGGCTCCAGCTCGGCTCTGGTGGAAAACAACCGAGCAGGACGGTTCGTGTGAGGGTCAGCCCGCCCTGCATGGCTGCTTTTTGGG